GGGGGGGGATTACTGTTGCCTCAAGAGAGGTGAAAGTCTCCCCTCGGAGGAATCAGAAGTTCAGTGCCCACTCAGGAAGCCAGAGCCCCTAAAAGCTCTCTCCATCTCATTTAGCTCCTTCTCTCCTCCTCCAGGAAGCTGTGCGTCTCTGGCATGCCAACTGCTCTGCCCATTGACTGAGGCTCCTACATCCCAGTTTGCCCAGAAAACAGGTAAGGCTACTGCCGGGACCATGTCCAGGGGCAGTGTTCATGTGCCCCTGACCCAGTGAAGGGAGTTGTGGTGACATTTCCTGTCAAAGATAGCCAAGAACACGTGAGAGTGGGGAAGAGATGAATCCGGCTGGCCATGTGGTAGAATGGTGCTGGCTTGCACTTTTAGAGTTGTTTACAACAGGAAGTGCTTTCTTGTGTGCTGTCTTATTCAATGTTACTCACCCCCCAAACCTTGGGTGGGTGCTATTATCCCCAGTTTAAAAATAAAGCTGCTCAGAGGAGAAAGGATTTGCCTAAAGACAAGAGGCTGGTAGGCGGTTTAGGCTGAATTCGACCTTTTTCTTGTTTGTATCCCCAAAGGGCCTATGCACATTGTAGATGATCCATATTTGTTTGATGAATGAATGGGTGAATTCATTAACTACCCAAGTTCAATGGCAGGGAAGAGCAGGGCTGGAACCTGGTTTTCCTGTCACTCCTGGGTCTCATGTTCTTCCTGCTGAACTGCAGTTGATGAATTCATCATCCTTCCCACTTCTGCTCCCACTCCCATCCCAAGATTTCAAGTTTCTCCTGTGTGGTGTCCATCACCCCCTCCAGCTGTAGCTGGAAAAATGAAAGACAGCTTCTCTTCCAGGTGTTGTGAAAGCTGGGATCACACCCAGCATCCCTTCAGCCACATGGATTCTTCCCCAACACCCACTACCAGTAATCCAACGTGCATGGTTGTAAACTTGTTTCTTTAAATAAACAGTCTTGAGTTTCATACCAAATCATCTTTTAAGAGGAGGAACGTCTCCAGGCCACCTCGTATTTAGCATACAGTGAGCCACATATTTGCACAGAGAGAGTGTGTGTGGATATAGAGATCCCTTGATCGCTATAGATATCATTGCTTACCCAGATGGGAGCTATTTATGATGCTGAGTCACTCCCAACAAATGCCACTGAGGGATTCCAGGCTGGGCTCTGAGCCCCGGCATCACAGACCTCATGGCTCTCTGCCTCATCCTCACTATTGACAACTGAGAGAGATCCCCTACAACGGAAGGGCACTTTTCAAGCCATTACCCTCCATGCAAAGCACATATTCTTACAAATCATCTAGTCCAATAATTTCATTGTATAATAGAGAAAATTGAGACCAGAGAGGGAAAGCATTGGCCTAGTGTCACACAGCAAGTCAGTGGCAGAACCAGTCCCAGAGCTCAAATCTTCTGATCACTCTCTGGAATTCTTTCCTCTCCCTAGACACCTTCAGTTTTATCTCCACTCTCTTTATATTTCAACCTGAAGAGCAACTTTTTAATCTCTGGAAACATGGAGATGTCACTGAACACTTCCATGCTTGGTCTTCTTCAGGAGGGGAGCTGAGTCTAACTACTTGTGTGTACCCTGGCTTAATGTAGGACAAGATGGGCACTTACTACATGTGTACTCAATCTTGAATAAGACCAAACTCGGTACCAATTCCTGGGGAACCCAAACTCTCCATTTGAAATAGCACCCATCAATCTCCACCTTCTTTCTTGTCTCTAAGCCAGTTCTCTATCCATGTAAAAATAGACTCCCTCCCACTCACCACCCACCTCTGCCCAATTCTATAATGAATCAATTTTATTAATAGGCTTTAGGATGAAAACTTAACAAAGGCTTTTTGTGAAAGTCACCCTTTATCTCCCTATAGTTCACTTCTCAAAGAATTCTAATAAACTGGTCAGGTGGGATTTTGCCACCTTTTAATTAATTATTAATCTACGCTTTGCTGCCATACAGGAGGTGTTTGTTGAAGCATTTCGTCATCACTATCCTTTGTTATGGATCCTATTTTGTGCTGAGTGATAGTGGAATGAGATGGAAAGGGCACAGGCTTTGGCATTAAGGCTGTATTAAATTCTCTCTCACCATGTACTGACTCTGCATCCATGCTGATTGCCGTGAGAATTAAATTAGATAAAGTTTGGGTGGTGTCTGGTACTTATCATGTGCTCCCTGCAGGTTAGTGTGTGAATTAACCAATGAATGAATCAGGGATCATGTGAGCCTCATCCTATAAGGTGAGGAACCAAATCACTCTGCATTCTGAAGTCTTAAAATCATGAAACCCCAGAAGAGTAGTTTGAGGAGACTTGAGGAGCAGACTCCAGGGATTAGTCCACTGATTGAGCTGTCTCCTTGCCAGAAAGAGAAGTTCCTTCTCAGTCCCTTGTGCAAAGAGATGACTTAGATCAAGGAAACTTTTGACTCTGGTGTCTAGGTTTGAAACAGAAAGTTCCTTGAAAGTGAAGATTGTGTCTTGTTAACTGTTGGATTCTAACTTTTCCCCAATCAGAACTTAGAAAAGGTAAAGAGGTACACGGTATGCATTGAGTTAAGTTGAGTTGAATTGACTTTATTGCTTAGAGTCTGCTAATGGACCCAATTATAGAGTCTAAAAGGGGGGAAGTTTCTTGGAACTCAAATGTAATTTAGACATCGTCTCACAGCACAGAGGAGATCCTAAGGGTGGTAGTCTAGAGACATTCCAGGCCTTCCAAAGATGGAGGCATCTCCAAGAGGACTAAGCCCATGGCTAGGATGGAAAGGAAAAGGCAGTAGTCTTGGCTTGGTCAAGGAACACCACAGGGTTGAAGATCCATTAGGAAACTTTAAAATTTATTGAAACTGCCAGGATCTTTCCACATTTTCAGACCTCTGAATCTCTAGGGGCACCCACTTCGGGGTCTCTAGCTAAGGAAATTCAAATAGACACCCCAAGAGGTGAGAAGGCAGACTGAAGCAGGAGCCAGGTAGAGCACCAAAATTCAAATGCTGACACCATTGTAAATCATTCTTACTACTGGAGTGAAGGTTGGTGCTGGGGGGTGATCTTAGTGGCACACGATGCTAACTCCAGTCTTGCTTCGGGCACTGATTGCTAAAGGGAATGATACAGGGCAGCAAGGGGCACTAAAACTGGTCAAGGGCATTGTCCAAATAGTTTACCAGTCACTCTCTGTGATCTTCACCCACTCACACAATTGCAAGACTACTCAGGCTCAGGGAACAATAGGATTTTTTTAACAAACCACAGGTAAGCAAATTTATTGAGGCCAAAAATGGCCTTTACCTGACCCAAAGCAGTGTGCAGTGCTTTTCAGCCCTAAACAAAAGCAGCTAAGGTGGCATCTTCCCACCACTGAAGACTCAGAGCTCCTCTCTGGAACAATAGGCCACGTGTCCAGATGGCACCTTCCTGCCTTTGCTAACCTGGAGCACGTGGCAGCCAGACACTAGGCCAGATTCCAACTCATGAGACAGCAGAAAATATGACAGGAAATACTCCTGGAGCAGCCGATGCCCTAGTGTAGCACGAGACCAGCAACACTCAAGACAGCAACTGCAGCAGCTCAACAACCCAAAAATCAGCCGCACTCATGCAGCTCAAGGAGGTGCCTGGCTCCAGTCCCTGGTCTTTACCTTCCTTTCCTGGCTGTAAAAGCACCAAAACTGGGAGTTTCAGTGGCTCGGCTACTTGCAAAACCTCCAAACTTTTTCTGTCTAAGGTTGGCTGCTGGAGGCCTCCACCTTCAGAGGCCCACAACAGTCTTCTGGTGGGGCTGAAATCCACCGACCCCAAATGCTGAAGTTCAAAAAATACTGAATTCTGAAGACTGAATGCCATGGTGCCCCCTTCTTCAGTCCCTCATATTTCTTATCCATTGCTCCACCTGCAAAATATGATATTTTTTAGCATTTTCCCTGGGGCTATCGCTCCTCACCAGCAACCCCCTCCAAGGAGTTACCACCTTGTAATAATAGTCTTTTGGCTTCTGCCACCAGTTACAGGAATAGAGGCCCAAAAACCACAGCTGGAAATCAGACAAGACCCCAGAAGATGAAGAGCTGCACTCCTGGTTCCCTTGGTTAGCCCATAGCAGGCACTGCCCCTCACAGGATGCAACTAAGCACCTGAGGGGTGACAGGAACTAAGGAAACAGTGAGATTCACTGAGCAAGGCGTGTCACTCCTTACTGTATTTGCCCATGTCTGTGTGTGACTGCCTCCCACACTGGTTTGGGGGCCCATCAAAGGTGCTCTGTCTCCCTTCAGCCTAACTCTAGGCCCTGCCTGGTGCTCTCTAAAACCCTGGGTACAGAGGAGACGTCATTGTTCAATGAATGAATAACCATATCAGAGTTAGATGTTCAGTGACAGATTTCAAAAATGGCAAGATGGAAATTTTCATTATTTCAAGACAACAAGGGTGCGAGAGAGAAATGTCCACCCTAAGGATAGCAGAGACCAGAAGTTGTCCCTGTAGCATTCGTGAAAATTGAAGTGGAATCGACAGGGTGGTAGGGTGTACATATAAAATTACGTTCCTTGGCATCCCAGGCTTTTGAGAGGGGATTTTGAGGGCTATTATTGTCAGGTTTAGGCAAGGGAAGACCTCCACAAGAAGTTCTGAAGACAACAACCCCATAAATCTGTTTTTTATATGGGATAGGCACACACTTTGATTTTTAAAGGAGTCTTTGGATTTCATAATATATTTCAGTGCCATGGACAGGTGACTGGCTTATTGTGTGTCTAGCCATACAATGAAATATTATTCAGCCATGAGGAAAGATGAACCTTTTACAGCAAAATGGAGGGAGCTCAAGGGAATTGTGTGTAGTAAAGCAAGTTAGAATGACAAATACTGCATATTTACATAGCAGACAACATGACAAAAATACTAGCAGATATAAATACACAGAGTAAGGCTTCTGAGGTTGAGAAGGAGGGGAGAGGGAGAAAGGGGTGAAGGGGTATACTGATGGGGGCAGAGAAGCCAACACCTTTCTGTGTCTATGGAACAGTGCTGCCATTCTCAGCAAGAGTTGGGTACACGAATATGGCATGTAATCATATAGGGTGTGGGTTTGGGACATCCAGAGGCAGATTCATTTAAAAAAGGGATTGTTTAGAACAGAGGACATTCTGAGAATGGAATACTAGATTAGGTTTGTTTT